TGCACCATTTCCAGAGTACCTTGCAGAGCAGCCTCTACACTGAGTGTGGCCCTCCCGAGGAGAAGGGACGCCCCCCCCCCCCACGGCTCTGCAGGCGTCGGTATGGAGAGCACACAGGCGGTGGGCTCCAGGAATATCCAGGACAGGAATCTCCCTGACAAACAGGCTGCTTATCTGTGTCTCTCCTGCCCGCCCAGGAGCGCAGATGATGTTTTCCAGATGCCGAGGAGCCGCCTCCACTCCCCGCCTGCCCAGCCAGCTCCTGCTGAACGCTTTGTGTTCGTGCCAAGTGGTAAAGCTTGGGCCCTGGAGCGGAGGGAGCAGCAGGGTGGGTCCTCTGGCCCAGCAAACACCCATGTGTGGGCCTGGGAGGCCCAGACTGGGGCCCCCTGACCTCAGGGGCTCCCCCTGATTGGGGATGGCCCCGGTGCAGCCCACTCTAGTTCTGTGCCGGTAGAGCCGGCTCCTGTGGGGTGATTGGCTGGGCGGGAGGTGGCAGGGAAACCTCACCCTCTCCTGCAGATCTGGACACTGCTGGATGAGCCAGACCTGCCCTTTCCCTGCCCTAGCCCTTGAGCTCCTGTCCCCAGGGCCAGCGGGGAGGCTGCTGGAATTGGGGCTACGTGGGCAGAGGTGGCACTCGGCTTGAGGGCAATGCGAGGAGACCAGCACAACCTGGGTTTGGCACTCAGGACAAGGCCTTTGAGTGCCCAGGGGCACGGCAGGCATGGAGAGGGGCAGGAGCTCCAGCGGGTCAAGCAGGGGCTGCGTCTGCACTGGAGTCCTGGGCTGACCTCATGCACCAGACATCAGCAGAGGGCACAGGACTTAGGGAAGCTCTAGGGGCCCGGGGCACCTGTGTGCTCAGGGCTAGAGCTGGCTGAGTGCAGGACATGTGGTGGGGACCTCGCTGGATGGTTCCAGAGCCGCCTGGATTCTCCTGTCTCAGATGCCTGCCTGAATTTCCCTGGGAATCTCCCTGCCTCCTTCAGCCTGTTGGGACCTGCGGCTCCCAGGAGGCCTGGACTAGTTCATTTCCGTTCAAGACTCCACGATACCCCTGAGGACTCTGCCAGGTTCTCACTAATTGCTAGTTTGAGACCTGGGTTTCTCGAAGTTGGTCTGGCTCCCTCTTCCGCTGCAGAGCATGTGTGTGAGGCCGGTTCCCTGCAGCTGAGGCTGGGGTGAGGTCTGCACCTGCTGTAGCAGCTCAGCTTGGAGAGGGCACAGGGTGTAGAGGGGGCAGTGGAGGTGGGAGATTCTAACCACAGCCAGCAGAGAAGAGGTCACAGGATAGGACCCCACCACCCCCATTCTCCGTGAGGGCCTCTTACCCCATGGCCAAGTCTGGGGTGGTCACCCGGCCTTACTAGCATCAGCAGATCAGCGCGTGACACCAGATCACCAAACAGAAGCTCCTCCTTGGAAAGCTGACCCTGGGTTGGCCTTGAGGCTATACCCTCGGGGCAGGGCCATAACTGCTTTGGAGCTGTGGAAATTCCAAATTACAACGAACTTAATGTAAAGATCTTAACTAACTTTCTTCCCTGTTTTTTTGTTTTTTGTTTTTTGTCTTTTTGAGACAGGGTCTCACTATGCAGTTCAGGCCGGCCTTGAGCTCACTTTATAGCCCAGGCTGGCCTCGAACTCGCAGCAATCCTCCAGCCTCAGCCTCCTGAATACTGGGGTTACAGGCGTGCTCCATCATGCCTGGCATGTTTTGTTTTGTTTTGAGAGAGTGTCACTATGTAGTTCAGACTGGCCTTGAACTCACTATGTAGCCCAGGCTGGCCTGTAACTCAAGGTGATCCTCCTGCCTCAGCCTCCCTGGTGTTGGTCTTGCAGATGTGTACCATTACATCCAGCTGATTAGCTTTATTTTCAATTGTAGAATCTGGCAACAGTTTATTCCATAAAAGGGCATCCAGTGTTTCAGTGGCCTGAGCAAAAGAGGGTGGCTTTGTAGGCAGAGAGACTGATGAAATCAGAAATAAAGACAAAAGGCAGATTGGTCATTTCAAAGTTGCTTTCCTTTTAAGGCAGGGACAGGAGAAAGGACAATAGAGAAATAACCAAGTGGTTAACACCAGGTTACATTTTTTGGGTAAGGATTTAAAGCAGAGAGAACTTCACTCTCCCCCATTGACCTAGGCTGCTTGGGAAATCCGGCTGTTATCTCTCCCCTGCTTCCGGAAGGTCAGAGAGCAAGGCGGCTTCCTTCTGGTGATGGAGCTTTCATATGAGCACCTCCATTTTCACTGGTTCTGTTGGGGCCCTGTGTCCTCCCATATTTTTTACTTAACAGTAGAAAGATGAATACGTTAATATTATACTATATATTCAAGTACTTTCCTCAAACTGAAAGTTTCTTTTCCTTGATTTTTTTTTTTTTTTTTTTGAGGTGGAGGTCTTGTTATGTAGTTCAGTCTGACCTTGAACTCACTAACTTACTATGGAGCCCAGGCTGGCCTGGAACTCAAGGCAATCCTCCTGCCTCAGCCTCTTGAGTACTGGGATGATGGGTGTGTGCCACCAAGCCTGTCTTATTTTCTTCTGAGTTTAAGAGAAATAAAGTTACTTCTGAGGGCTGCGCTGTGAGCATGCAGTGCCGGCTCGCGCCCCTTCTCAGGGCTGTAGGCTCAGCCATCAGCTTCCTTTGGGACAATGGAGGGAAGGCCTGCAGCCCACTGAGAATGGTGACCACCTTCCACCCTGGGAGCGACTTGCTCACTCATCCCCTCATTTCAAAGGTGTGGACGGGACCCAAGGATTCATGTGCAGCATTCTCTTTTTTTTTTTTTTTTTGGTACCGGGAATCGAACTCAGGACCTTGCGCTTGCCAGGCAGGCGCTTGTGCCGCTGAGCTATATCCCCAGCCCCTCATGTGCAGCATTCTCGCTAAGCAGCTTCTCCAGGGCCCAGAGCCCGCTTTCCTTTCCTTCCAACCGAGGGAGAAAGAAGGAGCTGGGGTGGGCTGAGGGCAGTAGGGACCAAGGACCAGGGCTCCCCAGGGCCCCCAGGTGCTCACCCCTGGGCCCTGGTTCAGCTCCTCCAGCACCTTGGGCCTGTTCCACATTCAGTCCAGCTGGCCCCGAGGCCACCTGCTGCAGGCAACCCCCCTTTGGGGACAGCAGCAGCCCCACATTTCATGGTTCTCTCCAGAGCATGGGGTCAGGCCTGGGCCAGGAGCTAGAGGTGCTGCCCGCTGTCCCTGGGTCCTTGGAGAAAATGCAGGCTCAATGGAGCCCGTCAGCCTTTGCCTAGAACCGGAAGAGGAGTGGAAACAGGAGGTGGAAATCCAGGCTCCGGCCAGTCCGGCACTGCAGCTTCCGCCTGCTGGGAAACTGTGCCTCTCAGCAGTTCGAGGCGCCCTGCCCCCACCCCTCTGCTCCTTGGGTGCCTCCTGGACCCCTAAGGCCTTCTGGGTGGATGCCGGTGGGGCACTCTGATTCACGAGGTGGCCAGGCAGGCCCAGACGCAAGGCTGCAGCTGTCTGGGTCCAGCAAACTCCTGGGGGGTCTCCCCACCCCTGCAGGGAACCGGTGCCGAGGTGGGGGAGGGGAGGGCAAATGCTCACTCCGAGCTCCAGCTGGGCGACTGTGGCCTGCAGGACAGCCCCAGCCCATGTCCCAGTCTCCCCCTGCCGTCCCGTCTAAGCTTCCCCTGCTGCCTGCTGCCACCACCCTGCTCTCTCTGTCCTGCAGGGACTTGGTTCTCCTCTCTCTGGCCTCTGCCTGGCCCTCTTAGGAGGGACGGGGTTCGGAACCAGGAGGCCTGGGCTCCTTTCTGACCAATCCCCCGGCTGGGCAGTTGGGGCACCAGGGAGTCCCAGGGCCTGCCTGCCTGTGACCGCAGGTGGGTGTCAGCCACCCCCGCAGGAGAAAGGGCTCCTGGGACCCGCAGCAGAATCCTGCAGCTCCCTGGCTGCCGCGCCTCCCGCTCACCCCAACCCTGCTCAGCCACCCCCCAACCACCCCCACCCCCCCACCCCCCGCTGAGGCTGGGAGTGAGGCGGACCCAGCAGTGACCTCCCCGCAGGGGCAGGAAGCACCTGTCAGCCTCCCAGCAGTGCCCTGGGCTGCTCTGTCCCTCCGCCCCCTCCACGCTCCTGGCCTGCACCGAGGGAGGCTGGGCATGGAGCAGGGGCCGGGCCCAGGCGGGCAGGAGGGCAGGGGGCCTGGACCACCCTCACGAAAGCCGCCGCCCACAGGCTGCGGTGGTCCGGGCGGGAAGCTCTGCTGCGTGAACCAAGGTTTGGGTTTGTCTCTGGTTTGTCTGGGTTTGTCTCCTTTACATACGAGGCAGTGCCATGGGCAGGGTCACCCAGCCATGGGCCCCAGTGGCCTGCGGGCTCACCCAGCCAGGGCTCCAGAGCAGCCCACCTCCACTCACCTGGGAGGGAGGGAACCCTGCACCTACCCAGACGGCCACAGAAGCCAGATTGGCAGCACGCTGGGTGGCGGGCATGGCTGGGGACTCTGGGCCAGCGACACCAGCGCCACCCTCAGCCCCTCTGTGCCAGCCCGCCTGACTGTCCGGAAAACACTGAACGAGGATGGACATTAGGTTGGGAGGGTGGACCCTGGCTGGGCCTCACCCTGAGCTAGATGCAGCCCACTGGGCGGTTAAGGGCTTATCCTCAGCGTGCGTTCCGCCTGTCATCAGAAAATAACAACAGGGCTCATCAACTCAGCAAAACAATAGCCTCCAGCCAGCTGGGACAGCATCCTGATAAGATCCAGGTGGCTCCAGAAGCCTGGCAGGTCAGTGTGCAGATGCCGAGGTCACCAGCCTGACCCCCGAGGCCCAGCACAGGTGCCGTGTCCTGTGTGAGGCCCGGGGCCCGAGGGAGGCTCCTGTGACTGCACCTCCTTCCTACTGCCCGGTGTTAGGGGCCCTCGTTCCTGCCAGGCGTGCAGAGCTTCCCGCCCCGCCCACCGCAGCCTGTGGGAGGCGGCCTCTGTGAGGGCGGCCGGGGCACCCTGCCCTCCCGCCCACCCAGGCCCGGCCCCTGCTCCATGCCCGGCTGCTCAGTGTGGGCCACAGTCATGGAGGGGGCGGAGGCACAGAGCAGCCAGGGCACCGCGGGAGGCTGGCAGGTGCTTCCTGCCCCTGCGGGGAGGTCACTGCTGGGTCCGCCTCACTCCCAGCCTCGGCTCTGAAGTCCTGCCCTCCTCCTGGCCTGGTGACTCACCTGCTTCCCGGTCATCATCGTGCCTGAGTCGGCCCAGCCTCCTCCGAGGTGAGCTGGGAGAGGGTGGGCTCCCGGGGACCAAGCAGGATTGGAGGGGAGCAGAGGCGCGGCAGCCAGGGAGCTGTGGGTCTCTGCTGCCGGTCGGGAGCCCTTCCTCCTGCGGGGCGACCCTTGAGTCTGCACAGCGCCCCACGGCCCTTCTGTGGCTGGGATGGGCTGGCACTGGGCGGGTCCCTGCCCAGGAGTTCTGGGCCTGACTCTGGGGCTGGCCTCCTGCCCGCTGTGTTCTGAAGGTCACAGGTCACTGGGTCATGGTCATGTGGGCCACCCCTGTGGGCCTTGCTACACCCTCTGCAAGTGAGGACACTGAGCTTGGTGTGGTGGTGAGGCTCGCTCACTCAGGGCTGTGTCAGGGTGGCTGGAGGGCCTGGAGCTGGCGTCTGATGCCAGGCTGTCGGCTTACTGCAGGGAGGGGACAGCGGGGGGAGGCTGGCGGCCTAACCCAGTTCTGACACGGTTTTGGTGTGAAGATCTGGGGCTCTGGTTTACATGCCTGCCTGGTCTGAGCTGTGGTTTTGCTGATAACAGCTGTGCACCCTCAGGCAGGTTGCTTGTGGTCTCTGAGGCTCCAGGGGCCTTGTCGGCCAGCTTCTGAGCAGCTGAGAGGAGGAGCTGCCCGAGAGTGCTGGCTGGGACCACAAGTGGCGGGGTAGGGCTAGGAGTACCCACAGGGGAGAGGCCATGGGCTGGGGTACAGCTCAGTGGCACAAGCACCTGCCTCACAGGGTGAGGCCCACCTGGCGCTCTGCAGAGCCTGCCACTTACTTTCCTGCAGGGGCCTGCGGAAGGCAGCTTGTTGCCAGGTGCGAAACCGGGTCCAGAGCAGCAGTGCCCTGGGTGATGGGGCCACAGTTCTTCCTGGCCCTGGGAAGCTGCAGGCCTGGCTTCCTCACAGGTACATCATGGGGAACCTCGGGGGCCCAGTGTCCTCGGGTCTGCAGCTCAGTGGACCTTGTGCCCGCCAGGCTCTCCTTGCTGCACTCCATCCCTGCTGCCACTTAGCAGACCCCTCCCTCACTCTAAAGGCTCCGGGCTCCATGTGCCCTCCCGGGCCCCAACCCAGCTCCACCGCCCAGGGCTGCTGGTCCCCAGGAGGCTAGCACCTGGGACACGCCCTGGAAGGCAGCCACTGGACTGGGCAGCAGGCGCCACCTCCCCAGGATCTGGTGCCCTCCTAGGACTGCATTCCTCTGCCTACACTCAGCCTCTCCCAGGTGCTGATGCGATGCTTTGGGCTCAGGGACACACCTGGAGAAGCCATCATGGCCCACGGTGGGCAGGAGCCACGGCTGTGGCTGGAGGCTGCAACCAGGATCTGAGTGGCGCAGGTCTCGCCGGAGCTCACCAGGCACGGCGTGGCGTAGGCACCCTCAGCTGGCTCAGCCAGGCTGGGAGTGTGGGTGGGGCAGGCTTTGGATAAGCACTGGAGGGCAGCCGAGGCCTGTGAGGGCCGCCATCCTCCCGCGCACCTAGGGCCTCTCAGGAGAGCCCTGGAGGCCACAGCGAGGCTGAGGTGGCGGTGTTTGGAAAGACCTGCTCTCGCTCCTCTGTTGCTGGGATACTGGCTTGCTATCTTTTTGGTCTTGTTGTACATTTTACTGTCCACTTAATTAATTTTGAAAGAAATATTCTTGGGTGTGCAGCAGGCAGAACCTGACTGCTGGGTTTTTGGGCTTTTCCAAGCACACCGGAACCCCTTGCTGAAGTAGCCCCTAGAACCAGAGCGAGGTGCCCAGCCCTCCCAAAGCTTCCCAGAGGGTGGGACCTCTCTAGGCTGGGCCACCTTGAAAGCCTCTCTGACCCAGAGGTCAGCCTGAAGCCAGTGCGGGGGAGTGAGCAACACGTGCCTGTAGAGTGAATCAGTGACCTCTGGAGGTGTGGAGATGAGAGGGGCCCGCACAGGAGGGGCCTCATCAGCCACTTCGGGGTCACCTGCCCTGTACATTTGCAAGAAGGAAGTATTTTAAATTTTATTTACTTGAAACCATACAGTAACTCTTAATACAGTCTCATAAAAATTAAAGCCTTCCCGATAAAGTCCGCGTCTATCTTGATCGGTCCGCTTCGGTCGCGCCCCACCCCCAGTGCGGTCGCTGTTTGGTTTGGTGTTGGTTTTGCGGACTGGCCCAGGCAGCACTTGCAGGATGTCCATGCCTGCGGAGCTGTGCGGTGGCAGCAGTGCGCCCAGTGTCTCAGCTGGGTGTGGGGGCACTGGCTGTAATCCCAGCGCTTCAGAGTGAGTTCAAGGCCAGCCTGGGCTGCACAGTGAGACTCCATCTCAAAAAACAATGGGGTCAGGGATCTAGCTCAGCGGCATAAGCGTCTGCCTGGCAAGCACAAGGTCCTGAGTTCAATTCCTGGTACAAAAAAACCAAAAAAAAAAAAAAAAACAAACCACAAAAAAAAACAAGACCAAGACCAATTCAGTATCTTGCTGGGCACAGGACAGCTGTCAGTCCTGAGGCTCTCAGGCCAACGAGCTCCACTCTCCAAGCCCCCAGGGGCGCAGGGGAAAGGCTGGCAGCTCCTCCCCGCAGGGGGCGGGTCTGGGCGGCGTGGGCGCCTGGGAAGCCGCCTGGCCATGGCTGGGCTGAGTGCTCCAGCACCCGCAGTCTGAGGAGTTGCTCCACACTGTGCAGCCGCTTGCTGGCGCCTCTGGGCTCCAGACTGCCCGCGCCTGTGCCGGTGGCCTGGCCTGGACGCACAGGACGGGGTGACGATGGCCCCGACCCCTGGGACACGCGGCCCTCGCCCCCTGCCATGCCAAGGAAGCCAGGTCTGGCTCCCACACCGCAGGAGGGAGTGCCGGTCCTCCCACGCGCCTTGGGCCAGGGCCAGGCTGCAGGGTGGGCTGAGGGTGCGCCCCGACCTGCAGTGCTTCCCATGAAGGGCCAGAAGTCTCACCTGCCAAGGTGCTAGTTAGGGCAGATGTCAGAGCAGGAGGAGGAGGGAGGGGAGGGCACCACCAGCCTCCCAGCACAGCGTCCTGGGCTCAGAGCTGGCTTGCCTCCTGCTGGCAGGAAATCACCCCAGGGCCCAAAACTTAGGGGCCCCTTTCAGAGCGAGGGCCTGCCCCAGCTGCCCTACCTCCATTCCTGGCCAAGGCTGTCTTGGGGGTGGGGCTGGAGACACACCCCGGCCGGCCTGGCACAGTGTCCTGGCCTGGTTTACCAGGGCTGGCCCCACCTGACTCTGTGGAGGCTGCGGGCTTATTCACTGCTGCCCTCAGGCTCCACCTCCCCTCTCTGGGGCAGTCACGTGAAGTGGGGAGGTGTCCTGCCCTTCGGATTCTGGCCGGATGTGGGGGTCCCGTGTGTCCTCCTGCCTGGCTGGGGAGCCTACCTACACCCCCATAGGATTCTTGATGCAAAATAGTTCTGCCTGGGTTCCTGGCCGGACAGAGCCCTGTGTGCCAGGAACAACTGGCTCTCACCCTGGGGGGAAGGCGCCCCCAGCTGCCTGTGCCTGCTTTTTGCCACACAGGGCAGGACCATGAATCCTTGGCCTATCTAGGAGGATCACCTGGGCTGGGGATTTAGCTCAGCGGCACAGTGCCTGCCTGGCAAGCGTGAGGTCATGAGTTTGATTTCTGGTACCAGAAAAAAACCAAAAACCAAAAAAAAGCATTAGGAGGATCGCTTCGGAAGCATTTAAAAAGTCTTCATTTTGGCCGTGCATGTTGGAGCACCCCTGTAACCCTAGCCAGCCTGGGTTACAAAATGAGTTCATGGCCCACGGCCAGCCTGAACCGCATAGCAAAACCCTATCTCAAAACAAAACCAAAAAACAACAGCAGCAATAAAAATAACTTTCGGGCTGGGTATGGTGGTACACGCCTGAAATCCCAGCACTTGGGAGGCAGAGGCAGGAGGATCATTGTAAGTTTGAGACCAGCCTGGGCCACAAAGTGAGCTTAAGACCAGCCTGAATTGCATAGCAAGACCCTGTCTCAAAAAGACAAAAAAACCCAAACAACTTTCATTCTGAAAGGTGCTTAGCTTTGACCTTCATAAGTGAAGCTATGTACCCACCCATCATCAACCAGCAGCCACCTTGTCTTATTAATCCTCTTCCCACTTCCCAGCTTTCCTGATTATTATTATTATTATTTTAGTTTTTTGAGACAGGGTCTTGCTTTGCAATGAAGACGGGCCTTGAACTTGCTATGTAGTGTAGGCTGGCCTTGAACTCTAAGTGATCCTCCTGCCTCAGCCTCTCGAGTGCTTGGATTATAGGCATGTGCCACCACATCCAGCTCCCATGTTATTTTTTTCCTATATCTTTATTATTATTATTATTATTTTTGGTACCAGGAATTTAACTCAGGACCTTGTGCTTGCTAGGCAGGCACTTGTGCCACTGAGCTATCTCCCTGGCCCTTTTTTGTCTTTTTGAGACAGGATCTCACTATGCATTTCAGGCTGGCCTTGAGCTCACTCTGTAGCCCAGGCTGGTCTCAAACTCTCAATGATCCTCCTGCCTCAGCCTCCCGAGTGCTGGGATTACAGGCGTGTGCCACCACGCCCAGCTTCCCATATTATTTTGAAGGCACTTGAGGAGACTGTGGTTAAACATACACAAGGAATTCAGTGCAGCCATGCAGGGTGGCCCCAAAAGGTCTTTTAACAAAGCTCCCTGGGGGAGTTGGAGCAGGAGCCAGGGCTGAACACTAGGGGACCCAGGGGAGGCCAGCGGAGGTGGGAGCGGTGGGGACCTATCAGGGGCCACAGTCAGTGAGACCAGTACCTTCCAGAGAAGCAGAGAAACCACAGACCGAGCTGCCACTCAGTGGGACAGTTCCCTGCTGTCACCCCCGGAGGGACTGGAGAGGAGCTGGCTCCTCTTGCCCGCCCCCGTCTCCTACTCTGGGGGCAGCAAAGCCCAAGACAGGAGCCCCTTGAGTGGGGGTTGATGTGGTGGTGAAGCTGTGCCCTCCCGGGGGCTGAGCCTACCTCTTCCTGCCACGGAGAGCCTGGCGGCGGCGCAGC